GTGTGTGTGTGTGTGTGTGTGTGTGAGTGAGTGAGTGTGTGTGTGTGTGTGTGTGAGTGAGTGAGTATGTGTGTGTGTGTGTGTGTGAGTATGTGTGTTATTTTGTTTCTCTTTCTCTTCTGGGAAAGCAACCAAAAATATAAATTCACATCCAGTCTATATATCAGATATTTAAGCAAACTGAAGAAGCACACTGCAGGTGAATCTCACAAAAACATGGACCAGATCATGTTTCAAATCTGAATCTGAAGGGAAAAAAAGCAAGAAATTATAATTAGGAATGCTTAGTGATATTCTCATTAATGCAAAGCAAAAAAAATATATATTACCTAGGTAATTACCAAAGTATTACCTGTAACGTATGCATATTAAAAAAATTATATATATAAATATATTATTAAATATGACTGGTAATTTATGAAGATTAAAAAAAATCTAAATTTTTACTGTATAAGAAAAAATACAGTATTATTAATGAGAATCACTTCTGAGAAAAAAAAATATATATATATGGAAAATTATGGATATTTTAGGACCAATAAGATGCTTTGCAATGAGTCCTATTAAATATATTATAAGACTCACTGCAAAGCATATATTATGCAAAGCATAATTTTCTTCAAGCAACTAAGCAAAAAAAATTAAATTAATGAATGAATTAATGTATTTAGTTAGTTAGTTAGTTAAATACAAATGTATGCATCGGCCTATGCAGTGCAAGTAGCTGTCATAATGCTGAAATTTTTCTCATGCAACCAAAATTTTGCAGTCAGACAAACATAAACATTTGGGTGAAACTTGAACAACTGTTTGCTGACGAGCTTTAGAGGGTTCAGGTGTTAATTAGCGGGTCAGACTCCTCAAGCCCATCATTTGCGTCCTGTCACACAATAGAAGACCTGCTAATTACTGGATGGTGCGTCGAGCGAGACTGACAAAATACAGCTTTTTGTTGATAAGGCATTCTGTATTTTTGTCTTAAGGCTGCTGATGGAGTAACATTAATAGGAGCTCCTGCGGATGAGCTTCTATGCTCATCATCAGTGCTCAAATGAGGCATTAGAGCCCAACGACGCCTTTGAACTTCTGTGTTCAACAACAGAGTCTTTGTTCAAGTCTCATCAGATCGGACTGACACACATTCAAAGCACTTTCACAGTCCCAACCCTCTCCAGAACACAGCTCTGCTTTTCTATGCACTCCTCATGATTTGAGGTCAGAACAAAGGAAACACCAAAGCCGGAAAATTCACACGGGTAAATGTTTATTCTTGCCCTACATCTGTCCCAGGGCTTTATTTGATCTTTAAAGCAACAGTCCAATCAAAATTAAATGAATTAACTCACTGTCATGTCATTTCAAATGGTTGTTCTTCAGTGTGTGTGTGTGTGTGTGTGTGTGTGTGTGTGTGTTGTGTATATATATTGTAAGTCAATTTAAAAGCTCTACGCAAATTTTTCTAATTATTTACATGGTTTTAATGTTCTTCAGCTCAAATTTTTAAACTTGTTTTAAAACTCATATATTATTTAGTAATGTTTTAAACTAATGACTTGGTAAGACTCTGCAAGGTTCAGAAAACCAAATGTGCCAAAATTGATTTAAAAAAAAAAGTGTATAACAGACAAAGGAATAAACAATGCAAGCATATTAATTATGTATGCCCCACACACAGCATGCTGGGAAGAGGATGAATGGGACTGAAACACTTTTTAGGACTATTTTGTTCTTTTAAAAAAATAAATAATTTAATTCAGCTGCTGTGCTTCTTGCTCTGAGAAATATGAGTTTACCACAAGAGAAATGGACATCTTTCTTTTGGTAACCCACAATAATCAAATATATCTTTCCTTGTTTTTTTTTCTTCTTTTGCTATTATTTAAGCCAATTTAAATGATACAGTGTAGCAAAACAAGTTACCAAAGCATCAGTTCACATATTTTTCTTTAGTTTGTAAAGCATGCTTTTAACACAATGGGAATTACCACCGAAAACCATGCTGAGAGCTGAGTGCAAGAAAAAAAGCTGCCACAGTGGTATCCATTTTGTTAACAGTGCTTTACCAGGCACTTCTGTCCTCTCAGATAA